AACTCTTCTCRTTGGTGGCCASWGACAGGAGCAGGGGCAGTGGGTCCAAGCTGAAGCCCAGGCAGCTCCATCTCCATGTGAGGAGGAACTTCTTCCCTGTGAGGGTGCCCAGCCCTGGCCCAGGCTGCCCAGGGAGGCTGCGGAGGCTCCTGCTCTGCASATCTSCCAACCCGCCTGGATGGGACCSSGTGTCCCGAGCTCTGGGTGTCCCTGCTGGAGCAGGGGGTTGGACTACATGATCTCTCCCAACCATTCTGGGATTCTGGGATTGTGTGTAGTGCAACGGCGCTGATGGAAGCCAGGCCACAGCGGCAGGTGCGCTTCCTTCCTCGGCAGCACGCGCTGTCTCTCCTGCATGTCCCCAAACGCACCCGTGTGGCATCAGGCCCTCGACGGAGCTTCCCGCCGCTCGCTTGGCCCTAGGGGTGCAGGTCCCTTGGGGTGCCGGTACCAAGTGTCCTCCGTGGTTCCGGAGGTGCCGTTCGCAGAGCAGCCCCGGCTCTCCTGTCCCGTCGGCGCGGCCGTCGGAGCCACCTTTGTGAAGCTCGCGAGCACAAAGATGCAACTGTGAGCTGCGAGCGCTGGCGCGCGGCSAGGCGGCCACTGCCTGTCTGCAAAGCTGTGCCTTGCTCCAGGGTGCAGCGTTTGGCTCTTCTGAAGTGGCAACTGTTAACGACCCAATTTAAGCAACGTAAAGTGCACCCAGATTCCTCCTAAACTCATGTAACATTAATGATAATCTGTAATTAATAGCTGCAATGAAAAGGAATTGTAGTGTAGTCATTAGGAGTTGGTAGAGTATTTGGATATAAAAATGGCTCTTAGAAAGCTCTTCTTCTGAGAGACAGAAGGAACCCGTTTCCAGCACTTAGGGYGTCAGCAAAGCTCCAGCTACTGGAAAGTTTGCAGCCCTGGCGTGTAGGTGTCCTTAGAGCGCTGCCGGGATGGAGGACGATGCTGGGAGTGTTTGCAGGTATCGAATACGTAGCAAATACCTAACTCTCTGGTGATATTACATATTAATGTTACAGAATGAGTCTTAAGAAGAAAGTGCTGGAGCTAATTCCTCCTGGAGCTTTCGGGAAGGGTGTCCCTGCTGTGTCCGGGGGCTGGGGATGCTCCCAGCCGAGAGGCTCCGCGGTGCCTGTGTCCTGGTGCCGGTGTCACCAAGGAGCAGCTCTGAGACCGGGATGGGCCAGGGTGCAAGGGGCTTCCGAACCCTTCCCATCCTGTGCCGAATCAACTCACCTCTTGGCACTTCGGCTTTTGAAGGGCAGGATGAACGTAGTGTGTGGCTGAAACCCGCAGAGCCGCTCAGGGCTGGTGCGGAGCTCCCTGTGCAATGCCCATTATTAACATACCTCAAGCTGTCAGTAATGGGAGACTGCCAATAAACAGGTAGAAACGCTTAAAGGTCTGAAGTTCTCAGAGCAAGGAGCAAAATTAACCATTTGAAAGCCATTCACCCCATGTAAGTAACATCTGAGCCCCTGTCTGCGTGCAGTGGTGTGAAGAGGTCCCCTGGCAGCGGGAAAGACAGATGTGAAGAGGTGGCAGGACTGGTCAGTAGCGGGTTTGCCATCTGGGTATGTGCTTGACCGCTGTTAAAGGTAGTATGTCCTCCTCAAGAGGAGCCTGCCTTGCTCTGGCAGCAGAAATAGCTGATTTGAGGTGGGTTTTGCATCCCGGTGTGGTGCTGCTTGGTCAGCTAACTCCAACACTCGTGTGATTGCCACCTCCTTTGGAAACGCGAGCAGCGTCCAGGGTGGACGTGTCTGCGAACACGCAGAGGGGCTGAAGTCATGAAAACACAATCCTGCCGCACACCCGAGACCCAGGCAAAACCTGAGGTGCATCCGTCGTGGCAGTTTCAGTGGCATGCCCATTTTTAAGCAGACAGGAAAACTAGCAAAGAAGAGGAAAGATCCGTAACAGCTCCCAAAGGTCCCTCCAGGTTTCCTTCGGCACCTCCAGGGTGGGCTGTGGATGGGTCGGGACGCGGCTCATTGCGAAAGGCCTCGTATCTCGGGCGATCAGAGGAGCAYGTCGGGGAACACACAAAGCATCAGCGAAACAGCAAATGCAGGAGGAATAAAAGGAAGATGATGGAGATATGACTAAGAAGGAAAACAGCCGAGGGCCATATCTGTGGGAAGATCAGTCAGGTAGGAACTAGACGGCGAGCGCAATGAACTGTACGTGAGGAATGTGCAGGAAAGCAGAAAATTCTCAACGCTCACTAAGTTAATTAGGGCTTGCTCTAATTTTGTAGAACTTTATCTCTGATTCCAGTCTTCTGAATCTTACTTCCAGGGAGGATGGCTAATGGAGTGTACTTTCCGAAGAGTTTTATTCACCTTTTTAAATAGCACTGAAGTTTATAAAAACAAACATATTGGGCAAAATCTTATGGTTATATGGAGCAAAATAAGAATTTATTCAGTGATGTAAAATAACTCTACCGGTGTGTTTTCAGTAGATGTTTTGGTACAAGAAGTATCCATCCGCCCGTCACAGATTGTGTGGGTTGCTCAAAATGAAATTTGCAGTTTCCCTCATTACCCAGGCTCGTGACTTTCTGGTTTTTCTAAACATCTCCTTGCTCTTCTGGGCATTTTGAGAAGCYGGTGGTGAGATCTGCAGTGCGTATATTGCACTCATATTTACAGCAGAAAAAAAATATTAACTCCAGGCTGTCTTTTGGGTATATATTTAGAGTGTAAATGACCCACTGGGGTGATCTAAAGACTGAGGATTTGCATTAAGAAGACACATTGAAATGTGTATTTTTCGTTTTAACCAGACATATCTTGTGCCTAAGGAAGATATATTTCCCTTTGGAGCTGGGATGTTCACCCCTGCACCGCGCAGAAAGCCTCCTGGAGCCAGCGTTTCTGCTGGGGGCAGTAGGTCTTGCACGTCCCGCGCTGCTCATCCTGCAAACAAGGCATCCACATCCGCAGACTGATTTTCCTCTCAGCTTTGTTTCCATAATGCAGATTTATTCCCCATTAGCATCTTCCATCATTGCTGGGTTTGGGGTCCTCTTAGCTCTCTGCCTCCTTCCAGTTGTGACTTATATCCTCTTTTCCTCGCGTTACAAACGCGGGGCTCAGGGGGATGAGCTGCGAGTGATGCTTGTGCAGGGTGAGAAAACAGCCCACGATAAGAACCAGCTCTGCAGTTTTTCTTCGGAGGCAGATTTTTGTAAACCTAATTGAAGTTTATTTAATCACAGAGGCTTTCAGAGGAGCGACTGGGGTGAGATCTGCTCTGTGCTTATGCAACAGGGTAATAAAACGCGATGTTAGCCAACTTGTCGGTGGGGAGTATATCTGAGTGCACTTCATGTGCCTTCTCACAAGCTGTGAGATCTCATTAAGATTAGCATTTCTTAATAGAGGTAGAGATTTGAACTGATAGTTATCTCTTGTGCATTAAGGATAAGATCATTCATCTGAGATGATTTCACTTACAATAAAATCGTAGCGGCATAATGGCTCTCCTCTCTGATCGCATTTCTCRGGTTGGCTTTTTCCAAAACATTGGCATTGTTTGGTTACTTCAAGCAGGATATAGGAAGAGAGTTTTAATAATTAAGGATTAGGTTTTAAAGTCCTCCTGGGTATCCAGTTACAATATTAAGCGGATGTTCTTTGCTTTTTGAATGGGAGCCRCAAAAGAGCGAGGCCGCTTCCTTGCCCCCGGCGTAAGGCAATACGTGAATCCTGCACCTCCTGCACCAGCTCTGCGCTCCCAAGGGAGCAGCTGATCCCACGGGATCCTGCTGGCAATCGAGAGGGCTGCTCCGGAGCACGAGGATCACCCTGCTCGCCGGGGCGCTCCATAACKTGCCCGACGTCCCGCGGCGCCGCTGCCTGATGCTGCACAAAGCTCCCCGGCCGCGGTGCCTGCGCTGAGGTGGCGTCTGCTTGGGAAAACATTTATTGCACCAAAGCCCGAGTGTTGAAAAGGAAGGGAAGGAGAGGCACGAACGTGGCGGGCCAAAATCGCCGCTCACGTAAACACGCGKCGGCCTCCCGCTGCCGCGCCGGTGCCTGCGCCGCGGCCCACGCATCCTCGCCGCCCGCTCGGGTGCCTCCGAACGCCGTGTTTACCTTGGAAATACTTGAGAGAGGCTTAAATAAGCAGTGCTACCAGGCGGGCTGGGCCGCCCCGGCCCGTCCGGAAGCCGCCGTTACGCATATGAGCTCTTGGTGCTTCCCATTTGATTAAGACGTCCGTGTCGTGCGCAAGGGCCCAACACAACGTTGTGTTTTAGCACAACCTGTAGCTGGGCTGGACACTGCCAGTATTCCCCAGCACCAGCCTCTGCTACTGGCGGTCAGCATTGACCGAATGCCTAAGGAAAAACGTTAAAAAATAGCTGTAGGTCGCTCTCCACCTTCTTTGCAAGGGCAAAGCTGTCATTGTAAGAGGGGATGCTACTGGTGTCTGCGTTGGCCTTTCAGGGCTGGATTGAGCGCTGTCGTACGGGGATTGTTTGCACAAGCAGCCCTGTTAGCTCCAGCGCGGAACGCGGAGCCTGGTCCCGCACACGCTCCTCTGCAGGATTAAAATCCTCGTAAACACTAATGGGGAACACGCTCGGCAGCCCCGTAGCACTTGGGTTTTTCACAGGCGGTGTGAGCTGTAACGGTGCATGAGTCCTTCTACCTCCATAAAACCCGGGGAGAGATTTTAAGATGGGCTTGATCCATCTGAGAGGTCGGTGGCTTAATTAACACAAGGCCTCACAGTGACAGCGCTGCAGAACAAATTCCAGCGCTGGCCCGCTGCCTTTTTCCACTTTGCTGCTTCTGCTGTCCATGTGTTTCACCCTGGCAGCATGGAGCATCTCGTGTGTTTTAMTACCCAATGCTCAAATCATTCAAATCATTTTATTTCTCTTTAAACTTTAAAAATACCTCTTAATCTCCCAATGATACAGGCACAGTGTATTAACAGCATTCTTTTTTTCTGTCTTTCCCTTTCAGGAGCAAATTCATCAGTTGTTGCTGACTTTATGCCCACATCCTCATGGAACATCTCGAGCGAATTAGATAAAGGTAAATGGACAGATGAAAATGTGAAGATGGAGGAATTAGGTTTCCAGATCAGTATTTTTGCTCTCCCCTTGGCCAAATCAGTGAGCAAATGGGCATTTGAGATAAACCTTGTTTGGCTTGTGATCTTTTGACATCTCATTACATGCAGCGCTGTGATTTCTGGAGAATGCTGTGTTCGTTTCTTGTTCCCGTAAAACGTTCCACATGGCAAAAATATTTCAAGAYGTGAATCCTGTTGGTTTATGACCTGCTTGGCATTTTGTCTGGTGGATCTTAGGATCTGAACTCAAAATTAACCAACATCGGGCAGAGGCAGTTTTGCCTCGATGTGTTTTATTAAGGCTTTACGTTAATAGAAAGGAAAAATTTCAAAACTTCAGACATTTCTAAGTGGTAATTATGTGTGATTTCAAACTCTGTAAAGGGTATAAATGGTTAAAATAAAGAGATATATTTCTTATTCCCTTTCATTTTCTAAATTATGCATCACCAGTTATTTAAACCAAGTGGCTTAGCTGCCTTTGGCCTATATTCCCAGCCAGTGGCCTGCAACTTTTGAGCCAGTCTGGCCTTTGAAAAGCTTCTGCCATAACGTTGGCTGCGGAGGGTGCTCTTAGCCATGCTAGCTGTTCAATTTGTCAAACACTGTCTTTCCATTTGCTTATATCTTTGCCAACCATCAACTATTTAGCCTGAAATTTCCCAGWGTTCTCCCACAGATGGCTTTCCCAAGCATTTTTGTCTGCATTTTGTGTTTTTTTTTTTTGTTTTGTCTTTACAAACATATGTTCATAATGTTTTATGTTTAAGCATGAATATGTTTCTGTGCTTCAGCATGGCTCAAAAACAGAGCTTGGGGCACTCGAAAGAGGAGCGAACTCTTGTTTCAAGCCTGAGAATGCACCAGTCCCCTGGGCAGCATTTACTGCTGGGAACAGTTTTCCCTGCAGCAAAAATTTGGTCGAGCTGTCACTGCTGGGCCATGTGGAGGGACCCAAGCTGGTTTGGGGCTAGATGCAGAGGACCCAAGAACAAGACCCAATAGAAGACGCTGCAGGGCTGCTGAGAGYGAGAGGCAGTGGTTCCCTCCAGCCAGATGTCGGTTGTTGGTTTGTTTGTCTTCTTAATTGCTCAAAAAATCGGATGGAAATGAGTGACCYCGAGGGAGAAAGTGAAGGGCACAGAGACAAGCAGTCCAAAGCTGGGAAGTGCCCAAGGCTGCCGGCCAGATGGTCTCGATTGAGGCTCTGAGGTGGTGCTGGAGCTGCTAACTCGCAGGACAGGGTTTTCTTCATACCCAGCAAGGCCAGCCCGTGCTCCCCGGGGCCGCCAGGGCTGCGGGAGCTCTTGGAGGATCTCCCTGAGCTTCCTTGTGGACCATGTCCTCAATGGGGCAAGGTCTCAGCCAGAACCACTGTGTCAGTGTGGGCTGCTTCTTGCTTTGGACTCCTCTGTAGAAGAAGGCACTGAGATATTTGTGGTTGCCAGTGATGCCTTCTTCCTTCCGCAGGGTCAGCCTGGAGGCCTTGCTGGGTAGAACGTCCACAGATCGCAGGGAAAGCCCTTGTCTCAAAGGCAACCTGAGCAGCGGCAGCGCCGGCTCCCGTGGCGCAGGCTCCCAGAGAGTGCCGCAACAAAGCAGTTCCCGGCCAAACTTCCTAATTAAGGAGCTTGGCCTGTCCAGAATTCCAGAATCCATCTCTGTCCTGAGTATGTCTGCCATGTTCAGGACACAGGAATGGACTCGTAGTCTTGTTCAACAGCGTTGCACGTTTTGCAGTCGCTCCCAAACACGCTGCTTCGCCTGGCCTGGGGGGCCCTGTCATGATTATCTTACAACTGAGCCCCATTCAGGTTTCAATTTCTATTAAATAARCTAAATCGATGGCATTAAACAGTTGCCTGTTTATTCTTTTGAACAGGAAATGAATTTAAAAGAGACKCAGCCACCCGTGAAGAGCTGTTGAAAGCAACGATTGATGGGAGGGAGGAGGTGGTTTCTCACCAAAACCTTTAAAAACAAAACAAAACAAACAAACTCTGCATAAAAATAAAAATGATCACTTTGGAAAATTCAGCTAGGAGCGTTTTTCGCTCCAAGTGCTCAGTCATGGAGTGCAAGGGGAACGTCACGAGGGAAAACGAGAAACCCAAGTGCAATCAAATTAAATGTTAAGTTGGGAAGGGGGAATAGGGGGACTATGGGGAAAAGGCAGTGTGGCTGCAGGAACCCTGGTGTCTCTGGGATGGGTAGTGGGTGACGAAGGTTCCCCCTAGGTTGGAGTCCCTTTTGTTGCTGTTTGATGTGCTGCCTTCTCCCCTCGCCMCTGCTCCAGCTCTTGGCTTGGGAAAGGCTCTGGTTCACAGCAACTCCTTCAGTTCCTGAGCCTCATTCCGAAGGTGAAGAGCCCTCGCTGAGCTGCTTCCTTCCATCCTTCCATTCCCAAGGATGGACGTGCAAAGGTAGAGCTTCCCTGCCTCACATCTCTGTTTATTTATAGGGAAAGAGATAGACCCGGCTTTGGATGGGGGCCTGTTTATGTCTCGTACAGTAGAGGAATTGTTTGGGAACTCTTCATCCTCAGGCAAAGATAACATTTGAGCCTCCGCCAGGAAAGAGTCAGCTTTGAAATATTTTGTATTTTCTTTTAATCGTGGATAGGATTCCTCTTCTGTGGCTGGGCTGGCCTGCCTAGACTCCGCAGGAGCGGTAGGAATGGGCTGTGCGTGTCCCGTCTCTTCCCCATGTCCACCCCTGGACGTCACCCCCTCAGCTCTGCGCTTTCCTCTGCACGAGGGTCCTTGGGGACATGGCAGAAAGTCCCTGGAGAGCTTGAGGGCACGAATCAGGATTTTGCAAGACGCATCCCAAATTAAACAGCGGTTGCTGGAGGTTGTGCTTGGCCATGGCCTTAGTCTCCGAAGGCAGGTCCACACGAGGATCACCCCCAGTGAACATCCCTCCGCTCATGTTTTCAACCAGCCTTCCTCCATGAGCRTGCTTTGTGTTTTGGCAGCAGGAAATAGGAGCAGGGCTGCGGATGCACCCCGGCTCCCGCATCCCGGAGGTGTCCGGCCGCGCGGCCGTCAGGAGATTCCATGGCGCWTGGGGGAGCCTGGATGGCTGTAATGCGGCCACGCAGGGTGCTCCCTTCCGGGAGAATCACCYGGCAGGTTCTTCCAGGCCGGATGTCCACACAATTCCACGGAGACTCTGTTCTGATGGTGCCGGGAGAATGGGGCTCTCGCGACGACTGCGTTATGGAAACGTAAACAAAAGCAACGGGGCCAAACCGGGCTCATCGAGGCCTCCTGGCTTGCCCCTAGTTCTTTAGAGATTTCCAGATTTTCTTTTGAAATCACTGGATGTGAATTCGATACACATGGTGAAAGGGGAAGAATTACAGCTTTCACATTCATGCACAATTTACCTTTTTATTTTCCTTTATTATCTGGGGGATATTCGGTAAATCACGTTTCCCCTGATGGGGCTCAGGATCCTGATGCTATTTGTGGGGTCCCGTTAGTAGCGAGGCAGTAAATTACTGCTACTTTGTTTGAAAATTTTTTTAGCCACAGTACATTAGCTCCTTTTGTTTGCTTTTCCACTGACGGAGTGTACGTTTTTATTTGAGAATTTGTGTTTCTTCAATGTCTCATTTATAAATAATACAGGGTGTGAAATTTGAAGGTCATAGAACAGAACCTGAAACAGAAACCTCCCTCAGTAACGTGCAGCATTCGTGGTAAAAGTCTTTCCCAAAATGCTTCACTTAACACAGKTTTTTTTTTCTTTAAACCTCAGTGTGGGCAATGCCTGTCTGACCACTATGCATAAGGTAACTATATATAATAACCTTTTCCTGGCTCATCCAGCTATCTTTGTTTATTTGAAAGATTGATAGATCATAGGGTCAAGGGACGTGTTTTATTGTAAGTTTCTGTTCCAAATTTCCTGAGATTTTGGGTTGAGAAAAAAATAGACCTTTAGAAGGCACAGAAAGGGCTAACAAGAACCAGATCCTAAAGCGATGCTATGTCAAAATGTCAAAAATAACAGCTTTTCTTTGACTCTCCAGCATTAATCTTGAGGCACATACCTTTGCGTAGACCCTTCCTTTAGTGAGCTGAGTTTTTGTGCATGGCTCTGTGCTGCCGACCGGCTTCTAAAGTGACGGCAAAATCCCTTGATGGTTTTCAGTAGTTTGGTTTATAGCTGGACGGGGACGTTTGTTTACTTATTCCGAACCGCTTTTTGTGGGTGCGTGTGTGATAAAGTTCAGCAGCTTCCTCCTCGTGCTATAAAACCGGTTCCTGAGCAAAGAGAAGCTTCACGTCGCCTTGCTCGGTGATCTGATCACCCCCGAGCTCGCTCCGGGACAGCTGTCCGTAAAGCTGCGAGGATCCCATCAAAGGCAGGGCACGTGGGAGCGCTCGGGGTGGACTGAGGATCTGCAGAGGCAGTGGTGGTCCACTGGACCACTGTGAATGGTCCAGTTCCCATCAAAAAGCAACGGGATTCAGGCCTTGATAATGTGCCAAGGGCCACAGGGACCTGTGCTTTGGTCTCCCTCCACTAGTTCCCCCTCCTTTTGGCCCTGGAGAAGCTGTTAATTAGGAGAAAGCAGCAATTAGGAAAACTCTGAGTACTGTAAGGAGCACATGTGGACACCCCAAAAGCCACGACACCCGGGCAGCCCGGTGTAGTTGTGTTGTCCTTGGATGGTGTAATGCCCCGAGGTGGTGTCTGGGCAAGAGGAGACCCGTCTGTGCAGGCCTCTGAACTGAGCTTACACGGACGCATTTTGGGGGCATTTGGAGTTAAGTCGAGCAAGCGAGTGCAGGAGCCAATTTCCTTTTGTCCCAGGACGGTTGACAGTGAAAATTTCCGCTCGGTTGTCTGGGTTTCTTTAGCCCTGTGATATTCTCATGCGGTCTGCCAAATCCTGGGTCGAGGACGGTATTCCGTTCCTCCCACTGTCATTCCCCTACCTTTATTC